AATCCCTAATGACGTCATGGAATACGTTGCACTCAGTATTCGAAAGCCCATGCAGTCGACTCGGTTATGCGAGAGTGATTATTATTTTTTTATTTTATTTTATTTTATTTATTTATTTATTTTTTACCAGATAGATGGTTAAGAAGTTAGTAGAGTTAGTTTGTTAGCCGTTGGAATTTTTCCAGAAAAGTGAAACTTCCACCCCCTCAATTGAGGCGCGCGACCATTAAGTCGCAAGTTGGTAGAGTTCACGGTGGTAGCAGAACTCGAAGTCCTGACCTCTGCCTCACCCAAATCCTAAAGTTTAGCGGCCAACCAATTGAGTCACAGGCCCGATTGGTGAATATTATTTTTTTATTTACTTTTTAGTATATGATAATTACATTATATATCAATTAAATAAAAATTAAATTTTATTAACACATATTTTACTATTTATAAAATTTAAATTTAAAATCTTATTAACCCATATTTTACTATTTATAAAATTTAAATTCAAAATTTTAATTACGCGTTAATTGAAAACCATCTACTCGTACCAACACGCTGTAGGTGCGAGAATGCATACTATTTACTTTCTCATTTCTAAACGTCTAATTCAGATTTCAGACACCAAAAAATTAGTTTCTTGCAAGAATGGAAGACGGGAAGCAATCGCCTCCTCATGTTCTCATCTTTCCCCTTCCAGCACAAGGCCATGTCAACTCCATGCTCAAGCTAGCTGAGCTGTTGGTCCTCGCAGGCCTCAAGGTCACCTTCATCAACTCCGACCACAATCATGACCGCCTCGTAAGATTCACCGATGTTGTTGCTCGGTTTGCCAAATACCCCAGTTTTCAATTCAGGACCGTACCGGATGGTCTGCCTGATGATCATCCGAGGTCCGGTGACATGGTCATGGAGATATTTGATGGATTGATTGTGAAAACGAAGCCAGCTCTAAGAGATCTGTTGGTTGATATTAGGCCCCCTGTGGACTGCATCATCGGAGATGGGATTTTAGGATTTGTGCTTGATATTGGTCAGGAGCTTAAGATTCCGGTCATCCAATTTCGTACTATCAGTTCTTGTTGCTTTTGGGTTTACTATGTAATTCCAGATCTTATCGAAGCCGGGGTGATTCCAATTTCAGGTAAGTTATAACAACAATGTTGGTTAATTTTTACAATTTGGGTCTATACATTTGATGACAATTCATGAGTAAATTTATATATATTATAATTATTGATGACTCAAGTGAATACTTTAATTTAAAGAGATTTTTTTTTTTTGTGAACGCTTATAAAATATGCACATAAAATGCTTGTAAAACTACAAACTCTATATATAATTTTTGGTTTTTGCTTCAATTTTTAGTCTTGTACGGTTGAATTTTAAGGAATCTGAAGAATCCTTTTACTTTGACATAAAAAAACTGAAGGAAATGAAGACATGGATCGGTTGGTAAAGATTGTGCCAGGAATGGAAAGTTTCCTCAGAATCCGGGATCTTCCCAGTTTTTGCCAAACTAAAAACATTGAAGATTTATCTTTGCAAACTGTTGCCATGGCGACAAGAAGAAGCTCCAGAGCATATGCACTCATATTCAACACGTTTGAAGACCTAGAAGGACCCATACTATCTCACATCCGCACCGAATGCCCCAAAATCTACACCATTGGACCACTCCATGCACACCTCAAGACAAGACTCCCTGAGGATCAGAAAAACAAGGCGTCATCGGAATCCTCCAACAGCCTCTGGGCAGTGGACAGAAGCTG